TTTTTTTTTTTTTTTTAATTGTTTATTTTAATCAACTTGCTATTCTCTGATTTAAAATCTCAGCTCTCTTTTCTTCCTTAATGCTCATCTTTTCCCCAATATCCAATAAATATAGCTTGCTATTCTCTTATTTAAAACCTCAGCTCTTTTCTTTTCCTTAATGCTCATCTTTTCCGCACCATCTAATAATTCTAGAGATATTCCGCCATTTTAGTTTCTGGGTAATAATATTCAATTGACGTAATTTAATTAACATGTTATGATAGTATATAAGGAGTTTGTCTTTGCTATGTTATTAAACTGTCATCCAAGTTTAAGTCACATAAATATAAATTCAAGCTATGTATATGTGGTAATGTAATTATATTATCAATAAGTATATATATATATGGCATCCCTCTATCTTCGTGAGACGATAGAGCAGCTATATAGTTCTACACTTTGACGAGAGACTCACTAGGCCAATCCTAGAATGGCAATCACGGCCGCATCTCTCGCAGGATAATATTGAATCCCGGTAAATTCTTGAATTCCGAATTGCTCTTTTTGATTCAAGGGCCTCGTTTCGAGTATCTTCTGCCTTTTTTACTCCTACAAACACTGCTGTTCGCCGGTTGGAGCGATGTTCGGCAATGGACTCCCGTTCGTTTGTTTCAATATTGGCTTTCCTCATGCTTCGTTTGCAAACGTCGATAAATCTCAGGCGTGGTCGTCCAATATGTCTTGTCCCTTCTGCCAACTCTCCATACAGCAGTATCTTTGGGATACGTCGTTCCTCCATTCTCCGTACATGACCTAACCAGCGAAGGTGCCTCTTGATTAGAAAGGAGAATATGCTATACATGTGTGCACGTTCGAAAACCTCCACGTTAGGCACCCTGTCCTGTCAACGAATGCGCAAAATGCGACGCAGACATCTTTGATGGAAGTTTTTGAGTTTCCGCTCCTGGCTGGGATATGTGGTCCACACTTCGCTGCCATATAGGAGCGTGCTATGCACACATGCTTGATAGACATTTATTTTTGTTTTATCAGTTAGATTGAGATTATTCCACACCTTTTATTCAATTTAGCCATAGTTGCTGCTGCTTTTGCAATCCTGGTAGTTGTCTCTTCATCAACGGAGAGAGAACTAGAAATATTGGATCCCAGGTATATAAAATTATCAACAACCAAAAGATTATGACCCTCAATAGATATGATTAGAGGGGACGGTGCTTCTTGCATCATTACATGAGTTTTCTGTAGACTAATCGAAAGTCCAAACTCTTCACAAGCGTGTGATAGACGATTAACCATCCCCTGCAGACCTTCTTCTGTGTGAGTTGTTAAGGCGGCATCGTCAGCGACAACAGTTCACGAATCAGCACCTTTTTTACTTTGGTCTTTGCACGAAGGCGGGCGATATTGAACAGTCTTCCATCAGATCTTGTATGGACGTACACTCCATTCTCACATTTACTGAAAGTAAATTTAAGAGCATCGAAAAGAAAATGGAAAAGAGCGTTGGTGCCAGTACACAAAACTGTTTTACTCAGCTGCTAAGTGGGAATGACTCAGAGACAATGCCATTGAAAGTAACTGGGCTGTGCATGTTTTTGGGAAATGACTGTATTATTGGGAGCAGTCGTGAGGGACAACCTATTCTTTGCAGGATACTGGAAAGGCCTCTTCGACTTACCAAGTCAAATGCCTTGGTTAGGTCTATGACGGCAATATAAAGAGGAATATGCTGATCACTACATTTCTCCTGCATTTGGCCTAGCGAAAATATCGTGTCTATTGTTGAGCGCCCACTCCTGAAGCCACACTGGGACTATGGGTAGATGCGGTTCGCAAGACTCTGCAATCGTTTAAGGGCAACACGGACAAAAGTCTTTCCAACTAAGCTAAGGAGAGAAATACCTCGGCAGTTAATTGCAATCACTTCGGTCCCCTTTATTTTTATACAATGTTACGATGTTGGCGACTCTCATGTCCTGGGGAATGTGAGCTGTTTCCCAACACAGACAGAGGAGCTCATGTAAGGGCTGAAGTAGGATAGATTTTCAATTTTTGAGGATTTCCCCTAGGATGCCATTGATCCCTGAGCCTTCCCATCCGCAAGGTAATCGATGGCTTTTTCGAGCTCCTGTAAAGTTGGCTCTTCATCCAATTCATTCATTACTGACAAGGCAGGAATATTATGGAGAGCGGTCTCAGTAACTACATTCATTGTAGAGTATAGCTCAGGATAACGCTCTACTCAGCGCCGGAGTTGATCATTTGGATTCTTGATAATTTGACCCGTCTTGGACTTGAGTGGTGCTATTTTTGATGTTTGTGGACCAAATGCCCTCTTGATGCCCTCGTACATGCTCCTTGCATCTCCGTTGTCTGAAGCCGATTGTATGAAGTTGCAAAGGTCTAGATAGTAAGTTTTGGCACAATAAGTATTATGTCTATAATTCAATACATTGTTGCATATATTTAAACAATTGCTACGTACATGTTCAGTGCAAGGTACCTTTTTAAGTAATGAAAATAAAAAAAGGATAATTCCGAAAATGAAAATAATAGAGTTGATTATCTAAAAATACAACGTAAAAAAATTATGTAAAAGTGTGTATATAGAAACAAATGAGACGACGTTTGCAAAAGTACTGTGTAATTTAAGATAACAGATAGATGAATGGGGTATTATAAAATAAAATATAAATAACAATGACAAGACTGATCGGACAAAATGTACTGAAGAGTAAAAACAAGTGTGATAACATACAAACTAGACTTCACAGCTAACAAAAAATCATTTATACCTGTAATAAACTAGACACTAGACATTCCATAATAAAAAACAATTTAAAACACTATTGAGACACTATAAATACCATCTTATAAAACACAGAAAAAGTAAACGTAAATTTTACTTATTAAAGTACTTAATAAGTAATTATCAGTAGTCTACACCCTGCCAACCTTAAACATATACGAGAAGATAACACGAAATACATAAAATGTGGTCACTAGTTTTAAGATATCTGTATACCTATTTATCAAGTATGTCCAGCTTGCTTTGCTTGTAATCTTAGAAAGCTATGTAATGTAACTTCAGTACACTGCTAAATCTTTCAGTATTTTGTATCAAATTAATCCAATGTAAATATTATTAAAAAAAAACAACGAAAGATTGGTTTCTGTTGGATGTTCAATATGGAACGATTATCGAATGCAATGACAATGCGAATATTCTTGCCATTTAAAAAATAATTTCCAACAATTAAAGAAAAACTGGAGTAAATGTAATATTGTGGCACAGAAAGTTTAGCAGTATTTTAAAATAAGTGACATTTTGCAAGGTGAATGCACACTTTCTATGTCTTGAACGTCAAAACAATTCTTTTTTTCATCAATATCTGTCCACTTAATTTGAATTTTATTATCAATATTTTATAGATGATTAGACTTAATGCAGAATTACAAAAATTCTTTAATAGATTTAGAGACATTTTTTTTTTTAGGACTTAAATGTTTTAGCAAAGAAATGTGCGAAAAATTGTTGATGTTTGCCAATTTTTACACCTGAAACAAAGTTAAGAGGGAGTTACAAAGAAATATTATGAGCCTAATCTATTGGAGATTCTCGAAATCTGTTACACTGTTGAAATGCGATATGTCATAGTGGATACTGCTATTAAATCTTTGTCCGAATGTTTGGATAGAATTAATCAACAAAGCAAACGCTTGTTTAAGGATTACAAAGTTGAAAAGTGAAAATTTACAGCTTTAGTAAATGAGCATTGAAAACTGGACTACCTTAGAATTGATGTGAATTTATACTTTTTTTCTTCTTCATTGTGTGCCGAAATTTAAAACAACGTAATTGAACTCTCTTAAAGTTTACACTTAGCCCTTACATCGGTGTCTAAATATTTGTATACTAAACATGGTGACAGGTAATTTCAATTCGAATTTTGCTGAATATTCATGTCAGTGTTTAAACAAAATTGATTACTACTATATAAGATCAAGCATTACTCAGAGAAGTGTCACGATTTTAGTTTTAATGTAAAATAAAAATGAAGTACCCTGTCGACTATATTTTGGAAAAGTCATAATTTATTTTAAAGCCCCAATAGTCAGAATAATGTGCAAGAATATTAAACAAGTTAGGATACTAAATGAGTTGGGTTTTTTTTTTAACTCAAAATCTTTTTAGTAATAACGGTCATGACTAGTGACTCGTTGCGCTTAACAATCCTGATTATACTTTTTGCATTTCCAAAGTGTATAATATTTACAGTTAGTATCAAACTGAAAATGTAATTCGAGTAGGTTTTTAAAAAATTGCGATCTGCTGGGGGGCGCCAAAATCGCTAACCCCGGCTCCGAGTATCATCAAATTTTAAAAAAAACAGTCTACCTATAAGTATTAATACATTTAAAATTTTATTGTATATTTAAACTAATTGTTTGGCACATTCTAATTTTCTTCCGCTTTTGTACCGGTACAAGAAACACAATACTCTGTAACTTAATTAGTTTAAATTTACAATAAAATTTTAAATGTATTAATACTTATAGGTAGACTATCAATACTACCAAAAACTTAGATAAAATATGTTGAATATTTTTTTCCCATGATCATTTGAATAGAGAAAAAAATCTAAAACATTTTAAATAATAGTTCTGTTTGCTACAGTTTCTATTGCTAGAAAAATATTAGATTTAAAAATCATATTAAAAATATGAGTTGGGTCAATAAATACAATAAGGAAAGGATAAATAGAAAAAAATAAAGTGAACACAAAGAAAATGTTAACGTTAACAACTTTGATAAATGTCTCCAAGAACATTCGACAATTTTAAATTGGCATTAAGGAATTGAAGGATATTTTAAATATATATATATTTGTTTTGGAACGGAGATCATATACCAATAGCAAAAGACCTCTTATTTTTTTAAACGAGCTTGAATATGACACAACAGTGGGAGTGTCTCTAAATCAATCTATCACAGATCAACAAAACAATTTCTTTGGGCTTTGTTGAAACATTTTCTTGAATGTTGCTGAAAATTTTGAGCTCATGATTAAATAGATGAAAATATTTAAAGTCGGGCTTAATTGAAAAAGCACCTGATTTAATGTCTGCAAAAGAAAGGTATAGCTCTGTGACATAACACCTACTTGTAGATATCCTTCTTGACAAAATAGGTCAATAGCTACAGTGGGAATACTTGAGAGACAAGACAAGATACACGCTGTCAGCAACATTCTAATGACTTGCATGTTTCGAGAGCTCTTTGTTTGCATCTTGGCTTGTGACAAACGCGATCTTGAACTTCGTACCAATTTCACAATAATCATTAGACAACAAATTGTTGTTACAGATACTGGGATGATTGAGAGTAGGTACATTAAAATTACTGTTTCATATAAAATCATTTCTTCAAAATAATTTTGTACAAATTCAGTTGGCGCAACTACAGCATAAGAATTGTTAGAGAACGGGTCTTGTAACCAGAGAGGGTAAAAAAATAAAACCGTAACTATAGTAGCTGCCAATGAATAAACGTATAAACACAAAAGTATACATTTTATGCGGAAAGGTGTGCAAATCCTAGACACGTGAAAAGGAAAATACACAGCAATCATTCGTTCAAATGAGATGAGTGGAAATGTGCAGAAACTCAGAACTAGAGTAAAATAATAAATTTCAAGAACGTACACGTTAATATAAGTCAAAAATGTTGTGGCCAGATAAAAATCAGCATTAAAAATTATATCAGGCATATGGATAACTAGAGTAGCGGTTGAAAAGAGGGCGTCCGATGCTGCTAATGACATCATCAATATTTGAGGTGTATCCTTCAATCCCTGACGGTACACAACAATGATGACTAAAATGTTTCCTATAACACCAGTCATTGACATAAAAATAAAAATATATCCATTTAAGATTACTTTTACCCAGAAAAACACTTCGAACGGCACATCGTAAATGTAATTTAGTCCAGTCGAATTTTTTTGATTAGTCGATAGCTCGATAGGTAATGTTGAATTTATGTATGTCATTTTTTCATTCATTTATCCCTGAACTTCTATAGTTTGATTTATTTTTTAAAATTTCTTCGTGTTTGTTAATTTAAAACACCATTTTATATGAAAAGAAGCAATCTATATGCTAAAATTTATAAACATTTAATGCAAAATTGACGTTTCTTTAATGATCGAAAATAAAATTAAAAGAATCTAAATTGATAATGATATGCAAAAATAAGTTATTTTTGTTTTTAGTCTCTGATTGATTTTACCTATACAACTTACATATGATTCTACTAACTGGAGAGGGGGGGGAAGTCTCTTGAATTGATAACTTTAAAATAAGCAGGCTAGAATTTTATGTTGGCAAGCACATTACAACTATAAAAACTTAATTGCAATATCTGGTATTAATAAGGTCTGGCCACACAACATTGACCTTTGTCAATGTTTAAATGACACTTTGCTTTTTCACACGTCAAATGATTTGTTTCATGTCATGAATATTCTGTGACAAAGAAGATATACGTGTTCTTTTACTTCAAGTGTAACATTCAATTTCTAATGGGCAGATGCCGCATGAAATAGTCACAGACAATTTATCTTTAAAATATGAGAACATAACAATATATACTCATGTGTTAATTAATTTATCCTTATTTATGTGTTCAAGATTTCATATCTTTTTCACCGGTTAGAAATAATTCCCCGAAGGAAATGATAAATTAATAATCCACGCAAATGTATTTATCTCTCAAAAGGTTTGAAATTTAATAAATTATGAACGCCATTTAATAGAGAGGAAAATAAGTTCTCGAAATGAAAGCAACGCAATGTGACCTACATTCAGAAATAACCTGATGGGGAACAAATTGTGTCTTGTCATTTCAGGAAACATATAATTTACAGTTTGCATACAACAACTGTAGGTTTCCGCTGTCAACGGGCGATCTACTAAGTTTAAATTAGCGTCAGTCTAACACAATGTTGAGACTTTGACATTTTCTCTGACACTTACAACCAAAGTATTGACAGCTCAACCAATTGAGCATTTATTCAATCTAATACATTTATGCTCAGCTTAAAGACTATTTGTTTGTTCTTTTGTTATTTCTGTCTTGTTGTTTTTTTGTTTTGACAAAAATTTTTATGAAAAGCCGAACTTAACATCAGTCTGTCTTATCGAGAAGTTAATTTAACATTTAGATTCTTATTTTAATAGTTTTCTCTTTAGCCGACAGTTAAATTAACGCAATTAGATACAATTTTATTTCTTTCTCAAACCAATTGTCAGTGACATAAGCCTCCAGAACCAATATTCAGCCGTTTGAAGAGAAGTTTTTGAAATTATTTTTTGATCATTACATTTCGGTTGAAACTTATTTTTAAAAATACTATTAAATTAGTGATCCTTTACATACTTCGGATTTGTTTCGCAACTTTAATCTATTCGTTTTTTTTATTTGCTGCTGTCGATTTATTCAGTATATTTCTTATAGAAATTCTTGTACTTGAACATATAGCCAAAGAGTTACAATATATAAAATAAAGGACTGCATTCAAACTGAGTGAAGGAAATACTGAAACAAGGTACGTAGAGGCTTGATTCGAAAGAAAGGACACTAAGATTAGAATATTTCGGATAAGAGCCTTTCTCGACAAACATGACAAATGAAAATACGACAAGACATAGAAGGTCGTTAAAACCAGTATAAGGAAAAACCCTTTTAATAAACTTAGAATTGAACTTGCTTTCCCAACGATAGCAGAACACTTTGAAAATGATGAATTCATCCAGTGAAATGTTAATTTTGTTGTCAGAAGATGTGAATTGAAGTCAGTCGTTTTCACTATTTTGATTGAAGAAATACAAACGCAAAGAGTTGGGTCAAGGTCATTTCCAAGGCAAAATTATTTACTTTTTTTTTTTTACAAATTAATATATTATTATTTTCAAAGCTATTTTATTTCTCTTAATATTTGGATAAATTGAATAATGAGTTAGGATTTACTTTTAAAAATATTCACGTTCGTTTCCGATCTCTAAGACATTGTACGGCTCATGTTTTTTGATATACCTCCCGCAGTTTCCAATCTCTAACACATTGTACGGCTCATGTTATTTGATATACCTCCCGCAGTTTCCGATCTCTAAGACATTGTACGGCTCATGTTATTTGATAAACCTCCCACAGTTTCCAATCTCTAAGACATTGTACGGCTCATGTTATTTGATAAACCTCCCGCAGTTTCCGATCTCTAAGACATTGTACGGCTCATGTTATTTGATATACCTCCCGCAGTTTCCAATCTCTAAGACATTGTACGGCTCATGTTATTTGATATACCTCCCGCAGTTTCCGATCTCTAAGACATTGTACGGCTCATGTTATTTTATATACCTCCCGCAGTTTCCGATCTCTAAGACATTGTACGGCTCATGTTATTTGATATACCGCCCGCAGTTTCCAATCTCTAAGACATTGTACGGCTCATGTTATTTGATAAACCTCCCGCAGTTTCCGATCTCTAAGACATTGTACGGCTCATGTTATTTGATATACCGCCCGCAGTTTCCAATCTCTAAGACATTGTACGGCTCATGTTATTTGATATACCTCCCGCAGTTTCCAATCTCTAAGACATTGTACGGATCATGTTATTTGATATACCTCCCGCAGTTTCCGATCTCTAAGACATTGTACGGCTCATGTTATTTGATAAACCTCCCGCAGTTTCCAATCTCTAAGACATTGTACGGCTCATGTTATTTGATAAACCTCCCGCAGTTTCCGATCTCTAAGACATTGTACGGCTCATGTTATTTTATATACCTCCCGCAGTTTCTGATCTCTAAGACATTGTACGGCTCATGTTATTTTATATACCTCCCGCAGTTTCCGATCTCTAAGACATTGTACGGCTCATGTTATTTGATATACCGCCCGCAGTTTCCAATCTCTAAGACATTGTACGGCTCATGTTATTTGATATACCTCCCGCAGTTTCCGATCTCTAAGACATTGTACGGCTCATGTTATTTTATATACCTCCCGCAGTTTCCGATCTCTAAGACATTGTACGGCTCATGTTATTTTATATACCTCCCGCAGTTTCCGATCTCTAAGACATGCTACTGTTAATGCTATTTGATAAATCTCCGTAAGTTTAAGATCTCTAAGACATGTGAATGTTCACGTTATTTGATAGGCATCCTTAGCTGAGACGTTTTAATGATAATATCTTAAAGCCTTATATCTATCTTATTGTTTTAGAAATACGTATGACGTAACGCGTCGGTGTAAGTGCCTACTACAAACAATCAAATAACATAATTTTGGGTAATTGTAATTATTATTGCAATTAATAAGATATCGAAAAACGATACAATTCTTATTTTTAGGTTTTACATTATATACGCAGTAAGAAAGAAGACGCTTAATAATTTCATGTATACGATTCTATTTCTATGATGGAGTACGTTTGTTCATGTTTAAAATACATTTGTTGAAAATTTCTAGGATAATAATACTTTTTGTTTGATGCATTCATTTTCCCTTTTATTTACAAATAATGTGGATCATTACTTTTTATTTTGTTAATTGGCAATTTAAAACTATATTTTATTTAAATTTAGATAGTGTTTGCACTCATGAGCTGAGGTTATCAAAAAGTGTCTTAATGCATATCATGAGGTAGTCAGACACTATTTACATTCATCAGCTGAGATGGTCAAATAGTGTTTAGATTCATGAATCGGGGTGGTATATAGTGTCTATATGCAAACCCGAGGTAGTCAGATAATATTTAAATTTAGGAATTGAGGTCTTCGGATAGTGTTTACGTTCACGAGAGTGTCCCTTGTCGTGGGGCTGATATGCGTTTATTTAAAAAGTTCATGACATATAAAAAAAGGTAATAATTTAATAAAAGCCTTCCATTTCAAATTTTACTGCTTTCTTGTTTAAATCAAACAAAAAAAATGCTATTTTATTTTGGATATTAAATGATAATAATTTGTAAAATTAGAGATATCACTTGACTTTAAGATGCTCTACGCTACTTTTCGGTTGAGTATCTGCCCTCAGCAAAGTTTTTTGTCAACATGACATCTTGAGGTTCATTAAAAAGCGGCTCTGCTTTTAAATTGATTATCGAAAGTGCTAACTCTTAATATGCAATGCGTGCAGTACTGTGGCCCGTTGGGGTGCCACCTTTGACAGACCAAACGTTTTCCTGCCATCTTCACACGAAAAAAGAAACCTTTGCAGTTGGCTGAAGTTACCAACATTCAATATAAAGTGTCACATAGCTTTTGAGCGCCACCTTATACACCGCTGAACTTATGTGAAACGTTAACGTAACAATAGTGTCAAATATTTGACCTCATGTCACATAATTCGTTGTCTACAGTCGTACGATGTTGGTGACAGTTTGGATGGCATGTACTCCTTGGTCATTACGGACTGGTTCGATTCCATCAAAACTAAAGCTTCATGGTTCGAACTTTTTTTTTATTATAACAGCGCGAAAACATCAATCTGATTCACATTGAAGTTTAAGGATTTTCGCGCCGAGATTTATCAGTATTTATATTTCACGACACCGTGTTAAAAATATAAATTCTGTTGATTTGTAAGATTAAAATAATAAAGTTACATTAAAGGTCGTGTTCTGTAATTAGTTTTACCTCCTTTCCCACTCCCGTCGGGGAATGGACAGAGAATCACTAAAAAAGGTGTTTACATGGATCACCGCCGGTAATCGTGTGTGTGTGTGTAAGTTTTAAAAAACTATTTAAGTATAATCAATTTTTAAAACATTGAATAATATAACACTGTGGAGGGTTTTTTAATCTCACATTGTTTTTTTTATTTTGTTTTATTTCTTGATTTAAACACATCAAAAACGCAACATGCAAAATATTG